TAAAAGACATTCACAAATAATCACAAACTTCATTTTAGCAATTGATATGAACGTTTTTTCATATAAACTTTTAAAATATTGATGAATAATTGATTTGTTCTCTCTCCCCAGCCTCTCTTTCGAAAAGGTTTTGGTAGTGAAATAGTTCTTTAGGAATGAGGGAAAAATAAGAAACAAAAAAGATGAGGATAATTAACAAATTGGTTTTATCTTTTGGGGAGTTTTTTTTAGTTACTCAATGATTGGCTAAATTCTCATTTTAGCAATTATAGGATGATGTTGAATTTAATAACAGAATTTATGGCAACCAAAATTTAATCTAGTGTATGATGAGGTACTTGAAAATTTCCCACTTAGTAATAAACCACAATTAAAATTTAATTCAGCTTTTTATGAAACAAATGTAGGGAAAGCACTTGCAAATAAAGCAATCTAAATTTACTTAATCTGAAATGATGGCTCCAGAGTTTCTTCTTCCTAATTTGATGAGGCTGTAGAGTTGCTGACGTGGGGGGGGGACCGATAATATTTTGATGTTCTAGTTGTCTTCAAAGATCAAAACATCAAACTGAACAGCCTTGAACCTAATCTCATATTTCTCAAATGCTTAAGAATTGTTAGAAGATGGGAGACATCATCATGACTATTTCTTTGTGTTGTAATCTTCATCATGATATCAGTTTGCAGTGAAATTAGAATATCCTAGTGGGATAAAACATAAAAGAGAGTTGGGGAAAAGCCTCAGGATTAGAATTTTAAATGAATCCTGCTGGGAGAAAGACCATACCACTGCTATTGACCTTTTCCTGATGATGCCTGTCAGTTTTGCCTAGCAAAGTGTCTAAAGGAATCCCCATCAGTTTATACCAGATTTATCTTTTTGCCCCTTGAACAGGTGACCCATTTCTACAAGCACAGATATCACTCGGCCATCTAAACAAGATACTCAACTGGATACAATGCTACTACTATATCAATAAAGCCAAATATTAAGATTAAGATGACTCTTACAAATGGATGAGAATGAATACATAAGAGAATATACAGGCAAATCCTTGGCATATTTATCCTGCATGGAAATTTTCTGATTTTTTTTCTTTACATTACCTCAACTAAGAGTACTAAATTACTAAATTCAATTCAATTAAATCACCACTTATGAAATATTCTTTATGCAAGGCACTGAATTAGGCACTAAAAATACCAAATAAAATGAAGGATCATCTCTGTCCTCAAGGAGATCATTACTGGAAGCAACATTTTGCCTCAGAAGATCATTTTAGATGTTGTGATCTGATTTTCATTCTGCAATATATTTCAATAGCACAGGTTCTAATGTAATTAAATGTCAATTGATCTTTTTCTGATCAATAAACACAACATTGGAAAAAGTGGTTTCAAATAGGCAATATTGAAGTTTAAGCAAGTCACTTACAAAGGACTTGTGTCCCTGGGAATATAATCTCACTACACTTTTGCAGTACATACTAGCTAATGTTGAACTAGCTAGAGAGTCCTTAATAAATATTGAATAAATTAGAATGCCTCTAAAATATTATAGAAATAATTTACTCAATAGTTTAAAAAGTTTTTTAAAGAAATGAACTTTTTTATATAACCAGAACACATCAAAAAGTAGATTAAAGCATACTGAAATAATATATGATCATTTTGTGCTATAATATCATAGTTAACATATGACTATCTTATATACTAAAAATTTCAATTACAACATGTGATTCAACTTACACCAAAATATTTATAGTAGTGCCTTATGTGTGTAGCAAAATACTGGAAACAAAGTTGGATGCCCACCAATTAAGGATTGGCTAAACAAATTGTGGTACGTGAATGTAATGGAATTAATTCAGCTTTTAGTAAGTAAGTAGAGTCAGGAAAACAATGGACACAATGATTAGAGTAGTTTGAATGGCAGAACTATCACAAGGCAATAGAAGATGAGTGCTGTAAAATGAAGAAAAGCTCTGCCCCAAAGAAGTTTTGTGAGAAGCGACCTTCCCTTCTCCTTTCCAGAGATGGGGCAGTGAAATCTACAGGTGTGGAACATTCCATGTAATACCAGATTCTTTTGAAATTTGGTTTTGTTGACTTCTCTCTCTCTCTCTCTCTCTCTCTCTCTCTCTCTCTCTCTTTTTTAATGCTTTGCTATAAGGAATGGTTGTATGAGAGAGGGAAAGAAGAGGTGAGTTATGAAGGACATTTAAACATATAAAAGCAAAAGATATCAATACAATTTATTAAAAAAATGTAGGATTCTTTAAGCACTTAATTATGCCATATAAACTTCACACTGAGTTTATTAAAAATATTAACTTTTAAAAGCCTTTCCATAGTGTATTATGTATGGAATATGCATATTCCTGAAATGTATTTCTGATTTTCTTGTAGATCTTACAAATATTAAAAGACAATATAAATATTTAAAATTTTCTGTAATATAAAATAATTATAATTCATTTTATTATTCACTTTACTATTTGCAAAGAACTTTTAAAAAAATTATCTCATCTGATCCTCACAAAAACCTGAAGAAGTAGGTAATGCAAATATTATTGTCCTAATTTTGAAGATAAGGAAACTAAAACTCAGAGGTTGTAACTTGCCCACAGATATAAATCTAGAAAAATTAGTGATGGGATAGGAAACCAACCCAGCGCTCTTTCAACTACTCCATTCAGCCAAAAAGAAAAGTGACTTCCAACCCAGAAGAATAAATGATCAATCATTTCAATGGAAGAGTATTCCATTGGATTACTAGAATACTGAGCAGTCAACCATGTTTCTTTAAGTTTAGCTGAGTCACAAAATTACATGTCAATGCTAAGGAAAAATCTTACTTACCATGTTAACCTGTGGTTTATTATTTCAAGACACTAAAAAAATGAAAGTTCCATATTGCCCTATGGACAGTGAAAATTCATAACAAAAAATTACATGATGACACCATACATGTTTACTCCAGCACTGAAATCAATAGCTATTTGGGAGCAAAGCTATTTTGTTTAAACTATGATAGAGGTTCTTCTCTCTCTGCTTTAATTTCTACTGTATATTTGAATAATGAAAGTTCAAGTACATTTCCAAGACCAGATTATTCAAATCCAGGACATTGTAAGCACCCACTAACAAGAACTAACTAACAAGTTTTATCTTGAATACTTTATGATGTTTTTCTCAAGTGATATGGGCCCATTTTCCACATCCTTAAAATTTTCTGAAAACAATGCTATCTATCACTCTCAACACTGTTTCATGTGCATACTTTTTCAGGTTTCATTTTATAGCTAAAGCATCCCTTTTATTTTCTTTGTGGAAGAAAGAAATTATATAGTCCATGAGAAGGAAGATTTGGCAGATAAGTGACTCAGTAGATAAAGTTTCAGACTTGGAGACAGGAAAAACCTGAGTTCAAATCCTATCTCAGACAGAATTTCTAGATGTATGACCCTGGGCAAGCCATTTCATCTCTCTGGGCCTCAGTTTCCTCATTTGTAGAATAGGGATAATAATAACATCTACTTCACAGGGCTGTTGTGGGGATCAAATGAGAATGTATATGTAAAACACTTTGTAAAACTCAAAGTGCTATAGAAATGCTATTATTATAGAAATGTTATTATTAATTATTACCCCCAATTTACTTGTATCTAAATTTTAAAATGCAATCACACCCACACTAATCCTTTTTTTTTTCTGATTGAGTCCTGACCTCTTCCACTTTGGCTCTATTTACTAATTTCCAGTTAGAAAGTGAATCACATAGACTACCTGAAGTTAACCATATTTTAATCTTTCATTCCATGTTTTATCTTTTTATATGGAATTACATTTGAAGTCATAGGTAGTAAAAATGGGAGATTAACAATATTCATTGGGAAATGAAGATCTGTGTTAAAGGATTTGAATCAGATTGAAACTTGGAGAATGATGTAATACAGACAGATTAGAGCACTGTACTAAATAGGTCACCTAAGACATGGCACCCATACTACCTGCAATCAGCCAATCAGCCAGCCATTCTTTCATATTCCATAAGACCTTTATTAGCTCTCTCAATCAATCAACAGGTAACAATCAATAAGTTATCAAATGTCTACTATGTGACAGGCTTTTCACATACAAAGGCAAATGACAGACTTCTCAAGGAACTTACATTTGATGGTGGGAAGCAACATGCATTTTCTTCTGAGATCCCATTACCATCATATGAACTTTTTATTACCTGCTTGAAATTATGCTTTCTAGAGCATAAAGGATTAAACTTAAATCAAAATTTAGAATCATAGATTCTATCAAATCTATAAACTTGAAGTTTAAGGAGATCATTTATGGGAATTTCTTGAAAACTGATGATCTTATCCAGAAATCAAGGTTAAGGAGAGAAGAATAGAACTGAAGACCAAAGCAGACTAATGAGATTTTAAAAAATGGGATTCTCTTCCAAAATGACCCTAGTTGCAAAAAAAAAAAGCATGAATGAGAGTAGATAAATGAGAGAAGTAACTGAAGTTTTTTTTAGCAGTACTGAAGGTCAAGAGAAGATAAGCAAGGAATATGTCAGCATATGAACCTACTTATTCAAATATCACTAGAGCTTTCTCTCCATCCTTGTATCTCTACTGAGTACTTCATAAATATTTTCCCTTAATATATTGCAACGAAACATGAATAATCCAAGAAAACCAGCAAGATTTAACAGAAATGTTAACACAATGCCAACTTTCTTACCAGTTCAAAATCTCAAACTCATGCCATTCCATGATAAATATAGTACCTAGGATGAGCATCATCAAAAACAATAAAGGCAAATGGTCATTGTAACATGTTCCACATACAAATTTAGGAAGTTTTATTCCATTTGGTCCAACTACAATTTGCTCTTAAATTCACTCAAAATGCCATGATCCATTCTTATTAAACATTTTTCATGGGCACACACAACATACTCAGATAAATGAAATGGAAATTTGAAAACGTACCTGAACAAAACCGCATGCCATGTAGTCACTGAATAAAGTAGACTTGGGCGGTCTTCTCGGTAAACTGTGAGTCTGTAAGTGCTGAGGACTTCCCCATCTGTTTGAGATTCATCTACCACAAGAATTAGGATTTTGTTCATTCCTAATCCCAGAGGATAATTTGCAAAACTGAAAATACAGAAAGAAAAAAATAAGAGGTAATACCATTTGACTTTTAAAAAAATTGATCAACACATTTTATTGCACACTTATCTATGTGCTCAGGAAGCAGATGAGTTTTGAGGTATATAATTTTCAAAGGAATGTATAATAAGAAATAAATAAAGTAAAATCCTGACTATGTCATGGTTTATACTGTGTCAAATCACATGCCCATGAGCATAGTAGATGGTGTACTGGCCTTGGAATCAGTGTAGACTTAAACACAAATTCTACCTCAATTGTGTGACCCTAAGTAAGTCATTTAACCACCTTCAGTCTCAATATCCTCAACTATAAAATGGGCATAAGAACAGTACCTACCTCACAGGGTTGCTGTGAAGATTAAATTAGGATATATGTATATGGCATATATATGTTTATAGGGTATGTATATATTTAGAGGATATATACATATATATAATTTTGCAAACCTTAAACTTTAATATAAATGTTAGCCATTATTATTATATGAAAGGACATACATTATAATAATTTTCACTGTTTCTACTTCAAATGATTCATATTATTTGATTTATATTAATTGATCCTCAGGTTAAATTCAGGGCCAAAGAAATGTAGGTGATATATTTCTTTCAAGAGAGTGTGAAAAATATGTAAAAAAAAATCATTGTCCATGCACACTAGCATTTAGTGGGGTTTGACTAAATTTCATAATTATATCCAGAAATACTATCTCCTATTGAAATAGTTGATAAAAGGGAAAAAATGTATCAATGACTTAGAAAACCTGACCTCCCAGTCAGTAAATTATAGGCAACAAGCTCTAAAAGCAGCCCCACAGTGAAGCCTCCTGAATATTTGCAAGCAGCTCCATGAAGGTAGAGACTGTTTCATTGATTTGTCTTGGATCTCCAACACCTAGCACATGCTTACCAGATAGTAGATACATAATTAATGTTTGTTGACTTGAGCTGCATGGACAGATATCAGTACTCAGAAGTGTTAATTAACCATTAAACCAATGGTTCTTGAAGTCTGGCTCTTGGCCTAGAGGTTCCAGAGCCTCTTTCAGGGGGTCCATGAGGTCAAAATGATTTTCATAATAATACTAAAACATTCCTTGCCTATTAAAATATTCCTCTCTTTTCCAATTACATAATTTTGTGAGGCCATATTTTCTTCATATACTTCAACCAAAGCAACAAACTGCAACAGATTGAATGTGTAAGATGATATGAGAAACCAGTTGTCTTCCATTAAGCCAGAAATTAAAGAGATTTGCAAAAACATGTAAAATAATACCGTCCTTCTTGCCAAATTATTTTGTTTTAAACATGTTATTTACTAACACAGTAATTTACTATTTGTTATTTTAAAATAATTTCAAAATACAGTAATTTTTGACAAAATGTTATTAATGTATTTAATATGCAAAGGGTTTATTATTATTTTAAATGAATTAATGAAAAGATATCAAATTTTATTGGTTTTAATTTATAATATCTTAAACATTTATAGGCATAATCTAAATAAATAAAAGCTCCTTGAGTTCCTTGGAAATTTTTAAGTATAAGTGGGTCCTCAATAATTTTAAGAGTATAAAAAGGGGTCCTGAGACCAAAATGTTTGAGATTGCTGCTTTTAAAAAACCTTTGCCTTAAGCAAAGATTGGCCTTAAAAGATTCTCATGATTATTACCTAGCAAGATTCTCTATAATAGCCCAATATATCTGCGTAGTTTTTCCAAAATACAAATTGAAATTCTAGGTGATCTTACTTCATATTCTTATGTAGAACTGGAAGGGAACTTTGAGGTCATCCTTTCTAGCCCGCATTATACAGATACAAGGTCCAAGTGTCCAAGAGAACCAAGTAAATATCTGAGGTGGGATCTGAGACCAGGTCTTTCTAACTCCAAGTACAGCACTCTGTTCACTGCCCCATACCACCTCTCCAAAGTTATATGGATTGAGTAGATAAGTGAAGTATAATCAATAAAGGTGGATATATTCCTTTAATGTCCTTTGGACATAGGAATGATTACACACTCTAATCATTTCCCCAGTTGATCTTGCTTCTCAGATCTTCAACATTTCATGAAACTTCAAAGTCTGAATTAAATATCTATTAGTAGTTTCCCATCATTCAGAAACCATTCAATACTTGCACGTCTCTGGCCCCGTACCTTGGCCCTGCCTTTTCATCCAGATGTACTTTGCACTGGCAATTAGAAGTCTCCGCTCCAATTGTTACTGTTATAACATCAAATGGGACTTCAGAGTAGTAGTCTCTGATCTTTGGGTTAAATTCTGGATTCAGGTCCAAATGTGGATTTGTAAAGATCTGCTTGACATAAGATATTGTGTCTTTATCTGTTTCAAAAAGAAAAAAAAGTAAAATGATGAATATTTCAAAATACTATACAATCAGAGTGGTTTATTTTGGCAATTTGAGTGGCCATTGATATTTTTTGTATCTTCAGGGCATTTCAAATTTGTCTAGTTTTGCAGAATTCTCTTCACAATATTCTTATTGGACTTTAGTTGGAGGGATGCTGCTCATAGCCTTTCTGAGCCTTTAAAAATTTAAGGATATGGAGTAGGAAATCCTCTCTCCAGTGGGTTAATAAAATTTACATGATATTTACAGCATACACTGAGCAACTGTACTATAAATGAGCAACAACCATGTGTGAGGAGAGAGGATGGAGTGCTAACATTGCTTGAAATGGAATAATTCTAAGTGCCATTTAACTGGTATGTCGGCTAATAGAGATAAGGGGATGGGCAGGTACAAGACCTAAAAGGATGCATGCAAAGAAATACAAAAAGTATAAACGTGCATATCAATTCAACATGTTCAAAATACCCTCCGCTCTTTTCAGTTTCCCTATTACTGTTAAAAGGACCACCATCCTCTCTGTCTCCTAGATTTGCAACTTTGGCTTCTCCTTCACTCTTCACTCTCACTTGCCCCAAATATCCAATCAGTTACCAAATCTTGTCATTTTTGCCATGGAAAAATACTTCCCCTCCTTTCCACTCCCAAAGCTACCACTGTAGTTCAAGCCTTCATTTTTTCTTGTTTGGACTACTACAGTAGCTCTCTAATTGGTTTACCTGCCAGGTCTTTCTCCATTCCAATCCATTCTCAATACAGCTACCAAAATCTTTTTGTTGTTTTTTTTAAAGACTCGGTCTCCCTATTTCTTCAGGCTAGAAGGGCAACAGCCACTCACAGACCCAACACTGATTGGCTTCTTAGAGAAGATTTAACCAGCTCTGTCTTTCTGAAGAAGAAAAAGGAGGAGGGGGAGGAGAAGAAGGAGGAGAAGGAGAAGGAGAAGGAGAAGGAGAAGGAGAAGGAGAAGGAGAAGGAGAAGGAGAAGGAGGAGAAGAAGAAAAAGGAGAAGAAGAAGGAGAAGAAGAAGAAGAAGAAGAAGGAGGAGGAGGAGGAGGAGGAGAAAGAGGAAGAGGAGGAGGAGGAAGAAGAGGAGGAGGAAAAGGAGGAGGAGGAGGAGGAGGAGGAGGAGGAGGAGGAGGAGGAGAAGAAGGTATTATCCTATCACTCCACTAGTTATCTAGGTACTCCATTTGTGTGAGTCCCTGTCAATTCTAGATCTGGATTCAAGAAGTTTCTTATTGCTAATAAATCTATAGGGGTCATCCTGTAGTTTTAGCCATGAAGACAGTGATAGCAACAAAATACTACTAGAAGTAACAGCAGCAAAGAGAGTTCCTTCCCTACCAACAGCCACAACACTGGAGTGACAGCTATGAAAGAGGCTACTCCTACATAGATCTTTTCGGAGAACTGGATTGAAGGACAATACCTATTACTCACAGGTTTTGTTTTGGGTCTGGGCCTGTGATTTCATCCATATGGGGGAACTCCTACTGTGGAAACTCCCTCCACTAATGCCAATCTGCAACTTAGCTGCTATTTATAGTGCAAGAGAGTTGCCTAGGGGTACCCAGAGATGAAGTGACTGACTAGGGCCACATAGCTGGAGAAAGCCAGAGGAAAGAATTGAATCTGGATCTTCCTGACTCCAAGGCCAAGCCCTTCCTCCTATCTATTACAAAATGTCTTTATCATGCACAGTAACTTGAGTCCATCTATATATCTTGGAATTACACCTGGTGGTTTCCCGAATTTGGAGAATGAAAAACTGTTTAGGTACAACATAAAGTAAAAACAAAGTAAGGCAAATCAAGGATGAGATGTATGGTAATTTTGTTCCAAAAAAACCCACTAAGGTAAAAATGATGAAATAACTGGTAAAACTTTAGTCAAATAAGTGGTCAATTCAACCAACCAGTTGGACTGATTTAATTGATTAGATTTTTCAGTTCAAGTATACTAACTGTAGACATAGCCACCCTGTAGTTTGGATATAGCACTTCATGCTATTGCTATTTTGAAACTTGAAGGCATAAGGGCGGGTGCTGTGGTACTGGAACCAGTGCTACAAAAGAACATTACTCTAAATTCATCCCACTAATTATGAATTAATTTAATCAACAAATATTTATTAAACAGCCAATATATACAAGACCTTATAAACGCTGGGCTTGCAGTCAAGAGGCATGAGTGTGCATCGTGCCTCAGGTGCTTACTAGTTGTATAACCTTAAGTGTAACCTCTCAAACCTCTAGGTTCTTCATCTATAAAATGAAGATAATAATACCCATAGCATTTGCCTTGCAGGATTCAAAGGAGGATTAAATGTTATAATATGTCAAGAGCTTTGGAAAGGTTAAGGCATTATGTAGATGTCATCTATCATCATCATCATTAATTACCATAATCATTTTTATTAAGTACTATAAAAATATGATATGGTTTTCAAATTCAAAGCCATGCCTCCAGAGGACACTGTGACTTCAGCAAAGCCTTAGACTGTTGGAGCATTGCTTACTTTGACAAACAGAAGGGTATGTCAATAATAAGACAAAATATTTTATCACCCATACAAAAAGTCTAGATATAGAAGAGAGAATTTGGAAAAGATTCCTTTTCCTAGGCAAATACCGTATATTGTATGCTTATGCTAATTAGTATTTAGCCAAGCAAGAGAATGGCAATTTACTCATATAAAATGTATAAATGTTTATAAAATGTATTTCATATATTTTGTAATTTAATAAAGTATATAAGTACATATTTTAGAAACACTAATGCTACATGTATTTTGCATTTTATATCTTCATTAACTCTGCAGGTTCTCAATGGAGTACCTTACCCACCCAAGCGACTCATGGGGTGAAATGGATAGTCATTCTATTAAGTCTGCTTTTATGTGTGTATTTTTGTTCATCTTATTGGAAAGGTTGCACCTCTAGTGTGAGTACTATGCCCTAGAGCCCTGCCAGCTTCTTGGTTTAGACCTGACATCCTACTCAATTGACTCATTGATGCTACCTCTCAGAACACCTGGTGTTTCTTTGGCCACATTCCCATTCAAGTCTTGACTTGAAGCAGCCCTGATTATCACAGGAAATCTGTGGAGGACCAGCCTGAAGTAGGGTGAGAACAGACTGAAGAACTTTGGGGAAGAACTTATCTGGAAAAACTGTGTGGGAGGCAATGGCTGTTTCTGTCTGCTTGTAATGGATTTCTTTTAAATCAGGAGTTATATTTCCCTCTTGAGGAATGATTATGACTCACATGAAACAGAATATACTACTCTATTAAAACTAATCCACCTATTCTGTGACATTACCTCCAAATATTTTTATCTAATAATTTGACACATACAAAAGAGAAAGACTAATTCTTATGACCCAGGGAGAACTAGATATTCTGACTTTGGAAAGGTTTTCATTTATAAGAAAATGTGAAAGTATTTCATTCAGCTGTCCTATTCATTTCTAGTAAAAACAAAGGTAACAAGTCATATTTGGAAATCATTTAAGCTGAAGAGCTGAAAGAATGACTAATGTCTCTCAGGTTCACAATGTTTTATTTTGGTACTAACATATATCAGCACACTAAATGATGACACTTTCAGTAAAGGTTTAAAGAATAACTCGGATTGATAATAGCATATTCTCACAACAATTCTGTCAGATAGGCAACATATTTATTATTACAGTGTTTAATTTTAACTAATCCATAAGTTAGTATTAATTTATCAAAATATTCAAATTCACAAACAGGCCATTTTGATAATCAGTATCTCTAGCACATGGTATCGTATTAAAAATGATGATACTGTTAACAATCTATAAAGTACGTTAAAAAAACATTCGCATGGTTTTCTAATGACTGCAAATAAGGGCAGAAAAATATCTAAAATATACATTAGTCTATTTCAAAATGCTACATTTAGGAGTAGAATAAATCTGGTTAATTTTTACAAGAAAACACTAATTCTGTAATGGCTCAAGAATATTTGTCTTTAATGTAGGAGACACCAGATGTCCTACAAACTAAATTCTTCACTACTTCAACAATTCATGTTTATGTGAGTATTGGTACTATTCCACTGCTAATATGAGCAACTCTTCTATAACTCAGTGGAATGGGCTTTGAGAATGGCTAGTAATCATCTCCGTGTGGCTAACACACTTATGAGTCTTTGCTACACTGATCCTTAGAAGACAGGCATATAGTACATTGAATCCATACTTAAAACTTCTTCACTTTGATAGGACATGACATATAAGAACACCATGAATGGGCATCAGAAGGGTTTTATTGATGTTCAATTAGATTTAATATCAAATTAAAATAATACATGCTTAGAGAACATCTAATGCAGAGTCAAACTTGTCTCCAATGGCCAGCAAAACTCCTGAGTGAAGCCTGAACCGGATTAAAATAGAATTGGGAAATGTTTAACAAAATAAATAAAAATATAACCAATGTTAATTTGTGGTTTTCTAAGTCAACATGAGGCATCAGGGATTGTTTCTATTTTAATTTGATACAATTTGACCACAAATCTAGTCTAACCTCTTCTTTTTACAAATGAAGAAATTAAGGCCCAGAGAGCTTATGTGATTTGTCCAAGGTCACAAAACTAATTAGTGGAAGAGTTAAGATTTGAACTCATGTTTCTTGACTTCTTGTCCAGTTCTATTTACACTGTCTCAGCTACATATCTATTATGAAAATTTTGTTTCATATATCTAAGTCAAGAGTAATCTTTTTTCATTATTTCACCCTCCAAATAACACCTCTATTGCAACTTTATGAATAAATTCCCAGGGGGTAGGGGAGTTGAGCCCAGATGGAAAATTAGAGGCAGCAGCCAGCTGAACTCTCCCATCATTCCTCTAGAAACAACTTTAAAATAACACCTCACATCAAATTTTGAAGTAGTAGAACCAACAAAGGATCAGGGTGAGACATTTTTCCATAACAC